TTGGAAAGGCCATCAATGAGTTGGAGACAGCTTGCCTTATGGCCACCTATTTCAAAGCAGGCCTCAAATTGAATGATGCCATTACCAAGGCCAGGCAAGGAGACATCAAGTGCAGAGACAGCTTACCAGCCATAGCACTGTATGTCCAGAGGTTTGCAGGAGGGCCCCAGTTTCCCTTGATCCACTTCCTCAGCACATTCAGCAGATCCATAAATTCCACCCTATTGCTGGGGGAGGAATTCATGTCCTACCTGGCCCACCTTGACTTCAAGCATCCCACAAACCTTTTTCCAATGATTCGCCTTGCAGCCTGGGCTTGCCAATTGACAACCACCAGGCATGAAGATGGGTTTGCCAGGTTGTTGACCAGAAGTGACCTGGACAGACTCAAGTCCAAAGATCTGGAGGAACAGGTGGTTGAAGCAGAGGCCATGCTTGCTGATGCATGGAAGACAGCCAATTCTTGGCTGTCCAGCCAAGCAAGTGAGACCAGGGACAATGCTGAGGCCCATGCCTTCAAATCCTTTGGGCGAATGGCAGTCAGAGCCATGCTTTTTCTGTTGAACAAACAGAAGTTTTCCAGGGAGACCAAGCAATGGGAGGGCTTGCCAGAAATTCTCCAGTCCTTCACTGAAGATCTTGCAGAGTATGGCAGCACATCCACTCCATCCCATGTACCTGAAAAGCCTTTGCAGATCACTGATGCCCTCAATGCAGATGCCAAAACCATGGCTTTGCTACAGAATGCCCATATGGAAATTGGGAAGATGTGACTTGCATATTTTGGTTTGTTGATTTTTTCATTGTGTTTGTTTTGTATGTGTTTTATTTGTTGTTTGTTAATTCAGTCCTGAGGTATTGCTACCCCAAAGAGCATGGCCAGAAGCCTTTCCAGCTCACCAAAGTGAATGATGACAATGTAACCATGGCCCATTCAGCCCTATTTCAAAGCCCAGAGGAAATCCATGTTGTGTTTGCAGACCTCAAGAAATGGAAGGTCACCAAGTCTCAGATGCCTCTCCTTTGCCCAGAAGAGACTGCCAGGCTGAGCTTGCCAGAGCAGCACAGTACTTGCCAAGAAGAGCTCACCAGGCTGTCAGTAGCCAATGCCTTGCATGCTTGCTACCAGTGCCATGCTCTTGCACCAAAGCAGGTTGCATTTGCTTTGTATCCAATGGCTCTTTATACCCAGCAGTCCTTCAAAAAGAAGCAGCTCAAACTTGTTCCTTTGGGGACTGTTACCAAAGCCAAAGAAGGCCTCCAGTCCAAATTGAGGA